GTCACTGTCTCAGAGGAGGAGATTTCTGGGGTGACTGAGGATGGGGGAGAACCTGAGGTGGAGGAGGAGCAGCAGCAGCAGCAGCAGCAGCAGGAAGGTGCTCCACAAGGTGCCGCACGTCCGGCTGACCGTCCTAGGAGGGATGTGCGCCCTCCTAACCGGCTGACCTATCCGAGCTTTGGCAAGCCAAAGGTGGTGCGGGCTGGGAGTGTGGCTGAGCAATGTGATGAGGATGAGATAGCACACTGCTACTGGGCAGCCGTCCCTGAGCCCAAGACGCTAGCTGAGGCATTGAGTGGGCCCGATGCTGAAAAGTGGAAGCAGAGTGTGAAGGAGGAGTACGACTCTCTGCTGGAGAATGAGACTTGGGAGTTGTGTGAGCTGCCTCCTGGGAAGAAGGCCATTTCTTCCAAGCTGATTTTCAGGCACAAGTACGGATCTTATGGGGCGCTAACCCGCTACAAGTCAAGGCTTGTGGCTAAGGGGTTTCAGCAGACAAAGGGAAAAGACTTCAACGAGCTCTATGCCCCTGTAGGGAAAGGCACAACACTGTGGGTGTCATTGGCAAAGGCAGCAAACCGTGGATGGCGGGTGAAGCAGATGGACATCACCACCGCCTTCCTCAATGGGATCATTCTGGAGGAGCTGTACATGTTACAGCCTGAGGGTTTGGATGATGGGAGCGACAGGATGTGCAGGCTGAAGAAGGCCATCTATGGCCTGAAGCAGGCTCCTCATGCATGGTACCACAAGTTAGAGGAGACTCTGCTGGCTGGGGGTTTCAAGAAGAGGGAGTGTGATCACAGCTTGTTCCTACTGCAAGAGAAGGAGCAGTTTCTCGTGCTCCTAGTGTATGTGGACGACATCCTGCTCTTCTCTGAGTCATCTGCAATAGTTGAGCGTGTGGAGGAGATGCTGGAGATGCAGTTCAAGTGCTCGAAGATGGGAGATGTGAAGTATTACCTCGGGATGCATGTGGAGAGGGACCTTGACAAGGGAGTGTTGAGGTTGCACCAGAGGAAGTATTGTGAGGGGCTGGCTAAGAAGTATGGGCTGCAAGATGGAGGAAAGCCAGCCACCCCACTGCCCTCGGGGTTCATTGTGGAGCCCTGTGCTGATGAGGAGGTGGTGGGTGAGAGTGACAGGAAGATGTTTCATTCCATGATGGGGGCACTCAATTATGCGGCTAACTTCACGCGGCCTGACATTGCCTTTGCTACATCCAGGCTTGCCAGTGTGGTTTCACGCCCCAGTCATGAGCAGCTCGAAGCAGCCAAGAGGTTGGTCTGTTATGTGAGCAACACTGCATCTGTGGGTTTGGAGTACAGTGCTGTAAGGCAAAGGCAGCAGCGGGGTGCTTCTGATTTGAGCAAGGGGGAGATGCTCCTGACCTGCTACACTGACGCTAGCTTCAACTCTGAGAAGGCGGATGGCACCAGCATTGGAGGCTATGTGTGCCTGTTTGGAGGTGGTGCAGTGAGCTGGCGCAGCAAGAAGCAGAATGAGGTGGGGCAGTCCTCGTGTGAGACAGAGTACATGGCCCTGCATCATGGGGCTGTCAACGGGAGTTGTGCGTTGGCCCCGTCCTCGCTTGGGCGGAGCCGACTTCGTGGTCGGTGTGAGGGGAGCAGCCGACTTGCAGTAGTGGGCGAGCTGGTTGACGATGAGGTCGACCTGCACAGGGGCCACTGCACGGGCGCCAACTTCAGGGTGGCACCAACTTCAGGGAGGTCGACCTGGGAAGTCGACCTGGGGAGGACGTCAACTTGGTGACATCAACTTGGGGAAGCCGGCTTCGGTGGTCGGCTGACGGACTGCTGGTCGTTCTGGTGGTTGGTCGACCAGGCCTGCTGGTCGACCTGCTGGTGGTCGAGCTGACCTGGTGGTCGACAAAGGAGGGGCCGACGTCGACCTCGGCTCAGGACGCCGAGCAGTTGGGCGTCGAGTAACTGGGCGTCAACCTCGTAACGCCGACTTCGGGTAGCCGACTTCGGAGGTCGGCTGACAACTGCGCTGATCGACGAGGAGCTGGTCGACCAGGACTTCTGGTCGACGTGGAGCTGGTCGACCAGAAGTGACGTCGACCTGAAGCTGGTCGACCAGGGGCGTGGTCGACCTGGCGAGGTCGACTTGGAGGTGGCCGTCGACTTGGGAGGTCGACGGGCACATACGGGGGCAGCTGGTCGACGTGGTTGCCTGGTCGACCAGGTTACCTGGGTGACGAGGTTCTGCGGAGGAGTGCGACAGTCGCCCAGGCGAAGTTGGCGAGTCCGACCTCGGTGGTGGTATCCCGAGGTCGACATGGCTAATCAGAAGCAGTCATCAGCGCCAGGTTGACTTGGTGTGTGCATTGTGCAGATGACGAGGCTCAGCCCGCCAATCATCTGCGAGCACCTGCGAAGCGGGTGCGCTGCTGTTCTGCGTGAGTAGCGCAGGCACGCCGTCAACTTGCGACGTTGGCACGCCGTCGACTTTGCACTTCTGGAGCGCGGTCGACCAAGTCGTGCTGGAACGTGGTCGACCATGCAGTGCGGGCAATCGACCGACCTGAATGCTAGCTCTGATGTAGTCTAGCCATGCCAACTTCATTGTACCACAATTGTTGTCAACTTTCTCTAGTGAAACTCTTGCCAATTTTCCCCGTGAACTAGCAAGCAGTGTGTGCACTAGGAAAACGACTAAGGTCCATTGAACGCAGAGATCACACGAGCACCGGTGCCTAGCCCGTAGCCTAGCTCCCGTTCCAGCTGTTATCTTCGCAGGGGCAAAGGAAGTAGTGTGGCTGAGGCGTCTGTTGGAGGAGATCGGAGTGTGCCAGAAGGAGCCAGCTGTGATTTTCTGTGACAACGAGTCGGCTGTGAAGCTTGCAAAGAACGCTTGCCTTCATGGGCTGACGAAGCACATCAGGCCTAAGTGGCACCGGTTGAGGAGGCTCCTGGACAAGGAGGTGCGACTGGAGATTGTGAAGACCCATCAGCAGGCGGCTGACATTCTCACCAAGCGCCTGGCTGAATCTGAGCATTGGAAGGGCATGAAGCTTGCTGGGATGAGTGTGTATTGAGGGTGCATGATTGAGCTATGGCATGTGGGATGATGGTAGGCAGCCAGAGGGGGAGTTTGTTATGCGATGCTATCACTTGCATTCACGTCTGTCTGCCTCCCATCACATGTTCGTGCGTTGCATGCGTGGCATGAGCGTGTGCAAGAATTTATGTTTGATGTGGTTTGGTTTTTCTGAGTATGTGTGAATGTTATTTGGCTTGAGCAGATATCTGAAGTGACTCCTCTGCTCAAGAAGAGCTTTCCGACGAACCAAGTATCGCTTCAATTGGAGCACGAACAAGAAAGTTACGAACGTTGGAAGTTCGTATGCTTTTGATATTTGGTTGTGGTGACTATGGGAAATTGTGGGGTTGACTCCATAAGGGGTATAGACTTTTGGGGGTTGGGAAATTCGTCAACATCACATCACTGTAGATGCTGTCAAGTGGTTGGGAGGAGCCAAACCAGGTTGGCAAGTGTGGCCAAGTTCGGCAAGGTGGATGGCATGGGTTGGAAAGTGACAAAAGTAAAAGTGGGGTTCATATAGGGAAGGAATTTGGTGTGTTTATGGGGTTTTCTTGGTTGGGGACTCCTTGGGGACCTTCCCTCTCGTCCTCCTCTTCCCTCCCACCTGGTTAATTGCTACTCCAACTATCTTGTGTTAAATTGTGAGACAATTGTGATTGAGTTAAGATTATATGGCAGCTTACCCCCTAGTGCGCCGAAATTCATAACTCAAAAAATACTTCACCTTATCATACGATTCAAATTGGAAATTGTAGCCACAGACTAGGGCTACATCATATCAGAGTTTGGTGAAGTTTTGACTGTGAACGTTTCGTCGACGGCGTTTCTTGTGAACTCGACTTTTCTGTCCAGAAACTAGGCCCAACGATTTTGAGATATTTCGGCTCCTAATCTTTATAGACTCCGTCCTTAGTCTCTAACATCAACATCCTCACCACCCACCCCGGATCAACTACAAGACCACAGCTGCTTGGACGAACGTGTCCATAGCTAGTAATATTTGCATGTACTAGCATGTGTTTAAGAACGATGCATATGTTGTAATATGCCATTTGCAATAAGAATGATGCCCCAGTTGCGATGAGAACAATGCCAAATTATAAGGACAAGAAAGCAAGCTTTCTCAATACGGGGAGATTTATTGTTCCCTTTGAATAGTACTTTCCAACTCACCCTTATCCTTATCTTCCTTCATTTCGTTGTGCCATGTGGCACTCTACTTTTCTGGCTTCTACTTTCTAGTCCCACGACGTACTTTCCATCATTCGATCTTGCATGCTATATCAACCTTGCTTGTATTCCCTAATATCAACCAATTCTCATTCAACCATTACTGTACTCCTCAGTTACTTCTTCGCCTATTTCGCTAATCCTTTCTTCCCCTAAGTCTTCCGCCGCGTTTTCATCATCGACTCAGTTGACCCCGCTATTCTTTAGAGAATTTAAGCCAAGGGGCCTAACATCTTCAAACTCTTATTTGAACCTGCCTGCTTCCATTCCTCTCATAAGCAAGTAATTGTTTGATGATGAGCTTCAATAGCACTTTCGCGTGTTCCTACAGCCTCTTATCAGGAAAACCTTTTGTCAGGCTCGCGTCGCAGCGCTCTGTAACGCACGTAATCACATTTGATCGCACTGAAACGCATTGAACCACCCAAGTCTGATAAGAGATTGTAGGAACACGCCCTCGATGATTTGACACAACACACAATAGCACTCGGTTACAGCCTACGCAATTACCAGCAATACACTAGTAAACATAGGTCACTTCAAACTCTTATTTGAACCTGCCTACTTGCATAGAAGACGCATTGCATCTTAACACTTACTAATTGGACCCTATGGCCGCACTGATGCACACAGCATCTCAAAACAAGCTCGCGAGCGCATCCGCGCGAGCTGGATCTCATCTATAATGTCATCTGTGCTATCTAATCCCGCTTGATGTTGATGAGCGGCTTGCCGAGGTACATGATCTCGCGATCGACCATGCCGTTGAAGAGCACCGCGAACGACGCGTACCACGCTGCACAAGCACGACAGGCACATGGAAAAGCACGGGAAGTCATGGTTAGCCACCCGCGATTTTCAAACCTCCGGACTACGTCATATCCAGAAACACATCATTGGGCGGACCTGATCGACGGAAATGCGAAAGATATTCCCACAAGTCTGCGGGACCCGCGCCTCTCTTGTAGCCGGGCTTACCCGAGACGGAGGTGAAGACGCCGATGTATCCGCCGGCGGTGATCCAAGAGGCGCCGCCGTCGACGGGTTGCTTGAGGAAGTCGCCGATGATGAGGCAGACGAGCGTGAGCTCGTACAGGCCGAACACCACCACGTTCACCACGGACAGCGTGAACGCCGCCGCTAGCATGTACGTGTTGAACAGGAAGAACGCCACCAGGAACCACGCCTCCGCGCCCGACACGTCGAAGTCCGCCGGCACCTGCAGTGCGCGGGGCACGCGGGGAGAAGAGACGCGGGCGAGCCGGAAGTTGGAAAAAGGTAGCGCTACAACGAAACAGAAATGTAGGAAGCGACGGGTTTGCGATGCGATCTGACAGTGCACTGTGGCCCGGTCCCGTGGACTGACCCATTTCCAGAGCTTGAAGCAGTAGAAGAGGCCGAGCGACATCCAGAAGCAGCCGTAGGTGGAGAAGGAGGTAGAGGAGAAGACGCAGTTGCGCTTGTACTGCCACATGCCCGCCACAAACTGCCCCAAGCCGCCGTAGAACAGCGCCACCGTCACCCACGTCAAGTCGGGCGCCCACCCTGCACTCACACGCGTGGGAATAGTTCAAGCATCGATAAAAAGCGTCGATATTTCACGGCCAGAGCATAATTGGAAAGCAGCGCAATGCGCGTAGTAGGATGAGAAGCACTCACCGGCGAGGTAGGAGGAGAGGATGAACATTGTGCCGGCGAAGGCTCCCAGGCCGAAGGAGGAGGCGTCGGCTGGTAGCGACTTCTCGGTGATCACACGGACGTCATCGGAAAGCCCATCCTCGAGACCCATGCTGGCGATGAGACTTGAAGTCTTGTTGGCGCTAGGTGCTTGAGATCCGAGCAATGTTGAGGTGAGCTGGAATTGATGTAGTCGCAAGCAGAAGTGGAGTGTGCGTCGCAGGGATTGTTACAATGAAGGCATGTCGAATGAGCAGCGGGGGATAAGTAGTGGCAGGGAGCCTCGTGAACTGGGGAAAGTGGCTAAGGGTGTTCAGAGGAGATGGGGGGAGAGGGGGAAGGGTGGGGATGTTGGGGTGTTGGCTTGGGAGGGGTGGGGATGGACGGGGCCAAGGTTGGCCGGATTGGGGGGAACTGGGCTGAACGGTTTGGCGGAAAATGCTTCTCACGTGCGCCATCGCGCAAACGCCACGTCCAGCGAAACGCGCCGCGTGTGAAAAATGGAGTTTTGTCGAGCTGTCCTCCAAATCAGCACCTTTTCTTTTGCTGCTCCTACGTGGCGAAACTTTTGGAGCACGTGATAAACTCGGGGCAGAAAAAGTCCTCGTGGCTAAGGTATGGCACATTTTTATTGGTTCTTTGGTCAGCCTTTCATGAGTCATCAAGGCGTCTCATCGTGATAGATGGAGGCGGAACCACGTGATTCGTCACTAAACGACTTTCCAAAGTCCAATGCGGCACAAAATATCGTCCTGCTGGACATTATAAGCGCGGTGCGCTCCAAATCTGAAGGAGATGACAGCGCGCGGTTCGAGCCTGGTCTTCCGCAACTGCTCAGCTCAAGCGCTTCTCCGCTCCGCGCCTTCCACCGCGAACCTCCCGTCCCCCAATCTCCTCCAACTTCCCTTCCCCACGTCTCTTGTGCTCTCCCACCGAGAGCAAGTATTTCTCCTCTCGTCGTTTGTTCCACTTCACACAACTACAATCTCACTTTCACGTGCCAACAACTGCCTTGCTCACTCCAACCGCGCTCTCATATCAGTCGGTATCCACAGCACCGGATCGAGCCCAAGCTCCAGCCATGGCCAGCGAGTCAAAAGTTGACAACGTTCGCATCGCAGTCGAGAAGGAGCTCGTCGCCGAAGTCGGCCCGCATGGACTCTCGTCGTTCTTCGTTACAACGTTCGTCCTCGCCGTACATCTCACAAGTAAGCGGCATTTGCAGCTTTGCGCGCAGCAGCATTCTACATTGCGCCTTTGAATATTCGTATTACTATTTTCCGATTTCGACTCATTTCATCGTCTGACGGTCCCTTCCGTGCGCCTTTGGCCCTGCAGATTGGGCGCCCGATGTGATCTGGATCGGGCTGGCCGTGTTTTACGGCGGCGTGGGTCAGTTCGTGGCGGGCATGTGGGAGTTCAAGCGCGGCAACGTCTTCGTCGCCACCTCCTACTCGTCCTACGGCTGCTACTGGATGGCCGTCGCCATGCTCATGCTGCTCGACAAACTCGGCCTCGTAAGCCAAAGCCAACCCTTCCAAACCTGCCACCAGAACAATCTAGTCGGTGAATTCCCCGCATTATCACGGTTTCTCATTATTTCGTTTTCATTCCGTTGGTTCAGGCGGCTCCCGGGTTCGATTCGATGAAGGCGCTGGGGTGGTTCCTGTCGGCGTTCCTGGTGTTCAACACGTACATGACGTTCCTGACGCTGCTGCTCTCCAAGGTCGCCTTCATCACCTTCTTCCTCCTCGAGCTCTTCTTCCTCTTCCTCGTCATCGGCTGCTTCTGCAACGACGCCCCCGGCCACGGATGGACCGCCGCCTCCGGCTACGCGCTGCTCCTCACCTCGCTCGCTGGTACGTCCCTTGCGTCGTTCGCTCCAACATCTCACTCACCCGCCTGCTCCCTTCGACCTGTATGTAGGTCGACGTGCGCGCCTTGCTGCCTTCGGGCCTTACTACTCGTCTCACAATATCAAGAAACTCAATGAAAATGATGGCGCCCGCCGTAGAACTATCAAGGTGATCCGCCCAGGCCAATGGTATTCATCCAGGCCCATGCAGCATTTCCGCCACATTTTGCTCACAGTTCCTCCCTCGCTTCCTCCCTTACCCCGTCCCCATTCCCGGATCTCCCCAGCGCTCTACATGGCGGCGGCGTCGATGTTCAACACGCTGGCCAACCGCACCGTGCTGTGGGGAGGCTCTCCCCTCCTAAAGCTCTCCAAGGGAAACTGATACACGCATTGGCGCCGCCACTGTACCTTGTCTCAGGTCCCATCGCCTTGCGTGGGCAATAGGAAGCTTAATCTATTGTAAGACTCACGTGTTGCTGTTGCGTTGTGCTAAGTGCACTAGGTTAGATGTGCGATGTAGTATAACTATCCTCGTCCATGTTTGTCGAATAAGGCCCTCTATTAATCTCATAAGGAGCCATTGCCTCCTGCGTTAGTAAAATTATTGAAGGTTGTCTGACTTCACAGGTTGTACCTTCCATATCATATCGCAAGTAACGATCTCGCAGATTTCGTCCAATAGCGAATTGAACTGGGTGTCACGAACTTGCGGAAGTGGAGAGAAATACTGTAGAACATGGATCGATGATTCATCCCTACTCGCGTGGCCTCGAATCACTCGAGTGGCCACCAAATTTGGTGATAATTACTCGATTGGCCACGCCAGGGGATTCCCGCTGGCTTTTTTTTTTTCCCGGCGCATTACCCTACAAGGGTTCGTATCCCCGAAACCTCTGTATTGGTAATTGAGCGATTTTCAATTTACGCGATGATTTATAATGGATGTTTATAATGGATGATTTATATTCGAAATTTATGTTCGTGACTCTATATGACCGCGCCTGATTGGACGCGCATATAGTCGACCAATCATGCGCGGTCATTAATGGTCGGGCACATCATATATTAGCCCCTAGCGGGAGACGCCGCACCGGCAAGGGCAAGGGGGGCAACGGCGTTGGAGGAGCTGGCGGGGGCGGTGGAGGTGGCGGTGGAGGCGGCGGTGGAGGTGGCGGTGGAGGCGGTGGAGGGGGTGGGTGTGGCGGTAGGAGTGGTGGCGGGGGTGGGGGCGTCGGTGGCGGCAGTGGAGGCGGAGGAGGCGGCGGCGGTGGTAGTGGGAGCGGAGGAGGCGGAGGTGGCGGCGGTGGAGGAGTTGGAGGCGGCAGCGGTGGAGCTGGTCGGGGCGGCTCTGCGCAGAGGGGCGGCTCCAGTGGTGGTCAGCGCCAGCAGCAGCAGCGCACTCGTGAGACCCCGTCCCCCCAGCAGCTTCGTGAGTGGTACGCTGCGCGTCAGCGAGGTGGGGGTACTGGTCCCTGTGCCTACGTCCTGCGTACCGGCGACCACACGGGTGAGCAGTGCGGGGGCCCGCACTCCACCCAGCGCTGCTTCGGCCGTCTGACGGACGCTTGGCGTCACCAGTTCCCTGACGCCACTGAGATCCCTCGCTGGGGCGAGCTGTTTAGGGCGGGGGTTGCTATTTTTGATCTTGATTATGATGCTATCCTTGCTGCCATATATGCTGTGTCTACTAGTGATGAGGGTGACTGTTACCTGTGTGTTCCGCCTGACCCGGGCATTGGGACTGCTGCTCTAGGTACTGGTGAGGCTGCTGCTCTAGGTGCTAGTGAGTCTGCCCCCCCAAGGTGCTGGTGAGTCTGCTCTCTCAGGTACCACGTCGACTCAGGCCTCCCACACCTTCACCCTTGACCCGGGTGCTTCCCGCTCCTTCTTTCGAGACCGCACCACACTCACGCCGCTTAGTCGGCCAGTTGCGGTCTCCCTGGCAGACCCCTCCGGGGGTCCTGTCCTTGCCCACTTCTCCACTGTCTTACCGTGTCCAGCGGCCCCCTCTGGCACCCTGTCCGGTCTTTACCTCCCCTCGTTCTCCACGAACTTGGTGAGTGGTGCTGATCTACAGGATGGGGGGGTTCACCAGTTCACTCGTGCGAGTCAGCGAGTGACCCACTGCACGTGTGCTCGGACGGGCCGACACTTGGCCACGTTTACCCGTCGGCCGGGGTCGAGCCTGTACACACTCACTACTGAGTCTCCTCCGGTTGCCGCGTCTGGTCAGGTAGCTGCGTCGGGTCATGTGTCTGCTGCGGCGTCCAGGTCTGGTCCTCAGTCTGCCCCCTGCTCGTGTCGTCTCCTGTCTCACCAGACTCTCCTCTGGCACCACCGCATTAGTCACCCCTCCTGCCTCGTCTCCGAGGCATGGCCTCCCGTGTCCTTGTCTCTGGTCTCCCCCGGTCCCTCCCTCCCCTTCCTCCGGGGCCTTCCCCTACCTACGTTCCTTGCGTCGAGGGGCGGCAGCGCGCTGCTCCTCACTCCTCCGAGTTTCCTCCGACAGAGGCTCCACTGCAGACGCTTCACATGGACGTGTGGGGCCCAGCCCGCGTCCGCGGACAGGGTCACGAGCGTTGCTTCCTGCTGGTGGTTGAGGACTACTCGCGTTACACCACAGTCTTCCCCTTGCGCAGCAAGAGTGAGGTCACTGGGGTGTTGATCGACTGGATCCGCGCAGCTGGTCTCCAGCTTAGAGAGAGTTTCGGCTCGAACTTTCCTGTTCTGCGTCTGCACTCCGACAGAGGCGGAGAGTTCTCCTCTGACCTTCTGCGAGCCTTCTGTCGTGCACGAGGCATCCGCCACACGTTCACGCTTCCGGCCTCTCCACAGCAAAATGGGATTGCTGAGCGCCGCATTGGCATGGTCATGGACGTCGCTCGTACGTCCATGATCCATGCGGCTGCTCCCCATTTTCTGTGGCAGTTCGCGGTTCAGTACGCGGCGCATCAGATCATAAATTTCGGATATTGAAGATCGCGCATTAATCAGTACAGAGGTTTCGGGGATACAAATCCATGTAGGGTAATGCTCCTGGTAAAAAAAACCAGCGGGAATCCTCTGGCGTAGCCACTCGAGTAATTATCGCCAAATTTGGTGGCCACTCGAGTAATTCGAAACCACGCGAGTAAAAATGAATCACCAATCCAGGCTCTACATTAATTCTCTCCGGCAAGTCAAATCCTCAGCGTCACTAACTCAGACTAATGCAAGAATGGAAAAGATCAGAAAGGGGCCCCGGAGTAGCAGTG